CGTCTCGATAGCTATAAGGGTGCGGGAGATATGGGCTTGAAAGTGGTTGAAAGTGGCTTTCTATTTCGAATGTTTTGTTTGAATTTGTTTGAATTAAATTCGAACATAAAATTCGAATATTGGTTCGATTATAGAATGATCGTAAACATTCCAGAAACGTTGAAAATAGTTTGTTTGATTGGACGTGAACAGGAGACGTTCAGAAATAGAATCAGGACCAGGAAGTGTTAATATAAAGCGGCATGGAAGGTTTACAGGCGGTTTTTTGCACTTTTGCGGGAAATCTAACATATTTTTATGCTCATGTAAAAATTCTCTGGAAACGTCTGGAAACGGGAGACCTAATTCTCGCATTTTGTGAAAATGGGTAAGATTGGCTATAATGTAATTATCTTAATCTTCACTATCGTTACTTTTTGCCCAGTGAAGCGGGTCCTTGCAGCTAGATTGTAGATTACTTAGAAAAACAGTCTTTTATATATATAAAAAAACTATATTACATACAAATGTACGAACAAATAAAAACCCAGTGAAGCAGGTCCTTGCAGCTAGTATATATATAATTATAGGATCCCCTTAAAAGAAAATAGGATAAAAGAAATTCTGTGGCATAATATATATATATATTATGCCACAGAATTTCTTTTATTAACACTTTACTACATCTATATATGATAAAATAACAACTGTCTTGTAAATTCTTAATTTAATAAATAAATAACAGAATTTTTTGGAAACCAAGAATCCTTTCAAAATACTAACAGTCTTCATCCATAAAAAGAAATAAAAAAAACTGTAAATTGTCAGGTAATCTTTAAACTACCAGTAGCTAATTCATTTTTAGATTATGTATTTCAGAAGCTTTTTAAAAGTAAAAGTTTATCTAATTTTATGACTAAATTAATAAAAGAAGTAGAAAGCTTACAAAACAAGATAAAAAAATCAATATATATGTGTTACTGTGAATGACCGATATCTGGCAAATGTCAACATTCTCCAGCATTCACACAGTGAATGTCAGCATTCACACAGTGTATGTACGAAATATTTGCTAAACATCATTATTTCTCACTTACACCAGCAAATGTCGATATTCAGCATGCACTGATGGTGAATGTTGAATAAAAATATTTTTATTATGTTAAGACAAAAATGCAACATTTTAATATATGAAAATAGGAGAAAACTTAAGTAATAGCACATTTAAATAAACTGTTGAACCTAAAACAAACAGTACATTCTTAATCATTAAAGAAAATAATACAATAATAAACTTACACATAAATTATGTGATTAACGTTATACAATCTTATTTATTGCAACAACTTAAACTGTGATTGTACTTTGAATTGCACAAGAGTCCCTTGCTTTTACAACTGCATTTATTCATGGAACACTTTTTTCTATGAAAGTATGTATAGCCTTGCCCTCCACTTTTCAAATTAGTTGCAGCTGCTTCTCTCAGCGATATTTCTTGAGAAGAAATCTCATGTATGGAAAGTAACTTTTCTTTACAAATTATGAACTGATCTGTTAATGGTATCTTTTATTCATATATCGCCGACGCCTTACCAACGACCCCTCTCATCCTCCGCCACTTGACCTGTCAAACTGATCCCCACCTCACAGGATCAAAAGAACAAAAATGCCATCCAGTGACAAAGTGGGAAGTTTCCACCAAACTGTGGCCTGAAAAAGAGGTAAGACCATGTCCTACCTCCGGCTATCCACAAAGTATTTGGCGACAGACTGTCGCCTCTCTGTCGACATCGGTTTCTCGGGTGTTGTTTCGACCTCCACCAAAGCTTGTGTGTGCTTGTCGACATACACCAGCGATTGTTCAAATGTATAATAATATAACCAAATATTCAGACTTTCACCAATGTATTTTGTATGTGTCGACATTCACCAGAGAATATAGACATTCTCTAATTTCGGACTTTCACAGTAACTAATAAAGGTAAGTGTATAATGTGCATGCCACTAAAACTCAAAAACGAGTCCCGGTATGATCAAGGGAGTTATGTGGTGTGATAGCCCTCTATTTCCCATCCATGAAGAAGGTTCCCGTTTTTACCTGAAGGGCGTGCTGTTGAAGATATAAAGGCTGGAAGTTTTACCTTCTAGAAATTTTTAGAACAGTCCAGAACATTTGAGAGTATTCGAGAGCATTCCACAACATTCCAGAATGTTCCAGGACGTTCTGGAACGTTTGGGAACATCCTGGAACATCCTATATCATTGTGGAACATTCCAGAACACTCTCGAATGTTGTGGAATGTTCTGGAACATTGTGGACCATTCGAATCCTTTTTTGTATGGGTGGGACTACCCATTGGTGGGGGTATATAAAGCAAGATCCGTTGTGGGTTCGAACATCAGTTTCTTATCAGTGACGAAGGGAAGAACCGAAAAAGAAGTGAAAATTCCAAAGTAGTGCAGTGAGTAAATAAAAACAAACAGTGAAGTGTGAGTAGTCAAAGTGATACAGTGACTGAATATAAATCAAAAATAAAGTGTGAAAACTGTGTAAAGTGTACTTAGTCTATTTGTTAATAAAAAGTAGATTTGATTTATATTTTATACAATGCCCAAACTTAAAAGAGGAGGAGCTCTTGCCAGTTCTGAATTTTCTTTTGAATATTAAAGTTGATATCATCAAAATATTATTTTTAGTTGCTAAAATTGTCCTTTGAAATAGCCACTCCGGATTGGTATAGTTGTGAACAATATTTGGATAAATTTGGTCGATGAGTTCGTTTTCAGTAGTGGCTATGTTGCAAAAATCACTGTTGAGTTCAATGAGGCCGTTCGTCTGGTCAGTGGGATATGTGCCTATTTGTTAAAGTTTTTGAGCAAAATGTTGTTTATAAACAAGCATTGTAAATAGTTAGAATATGTTTTCAACAAAATTTTTTCACTTCTAATATAATTTTAAAGTTTATCCCTTTATTCCAACTATCACAATCTCATATCAACTCCCTGAACAAAGCTGGGTACTCCAGTTAGTAATGCAATATTTTCTACATGTTTATATTAGAGAATCACACCTAAATGAAAAATTTCCAGCAAAGAAACACTCAAATTCAATCATCAAACATTTTCAGCCACTACTTAATTGGCCCTCTTCAGGAAATGTAAAATGAAAAAACTATTCTATTTATAGAATATAGCCACATTCTAAAGTAGTGAAGTGGTTGTTTAATGTTTATATTAATTTAATTAAGAAATTGGAATTACAATCTAAAAAGTATTAAAATATAAATAAAAACTATTGTTTATTCACAAAGTTATATTAGAAAAATTTTGTTTAAAAACTTCTAGAATGTGTAATGAAAAAAAATTAATGTCTGGTAATTTGAAAATAAACTATATTTTTCAGCTTTTCAAAAATACTTAATGAATTAAGAATTCTTGACTTATATAAAAAGTTATGTTATTTTTTAATTGTTGTCACTGTTAAATAAACATCTTTCTTTGTTTCTTCAAACATTTTAATTTCATTCTCTATTTATTCCTTAACATTATTGTTTATTTCTATGTAATTAATCAGTTAAATTCTTCACAATGTCAACAAACAAAACACACTGTTGAATCATTTGATTCTACTTTTATATAATTGTTTTTACTTAATTACATCAAAGGTTACTGAAGAAAGTTAGTAGAGGTCAGCATGGTCTTAAAACTGATGGCCTACTCAGCCTCAGAACACCTGTACATTACTTGTAGTCATGAATTTAAGAATTTGAACAGAACTCGTATATTGAATGTATAAATATGTAATAATATTATATATCTCAATAGAATGATTATTGAGATATATAATATAACTTGATAATTGCAAAATAAGACATAATTTTGATAAATATTTGAAAAAAAATTAAGTTTCAATTTATTGTACAAAATAGATCAACATAATCAAATTCATTAAATTAATTAATATGACTAAATTAGAAAAATATAAATCTACCTCAAGTTTTACTTCTTGAAGTTTATGAGGTTCTATATCCAAAACAGGCACTGACTCACCTTGACCAAGTTTGACTTGCTTATCATTCTGTAATTAATGTATTATTGGTAATTATGAATTTTCTGATGTAAAAAGAAATTTTACATGCATTATATTTAAAGAATTACCATTAAAAAGAAAATATTAAAATATGAATTAAAAAAATGAAATCAGTTTTTTCAAAAAAATTTGAATAAACATGATGAATGCTATAAATTACTTTCATTTTTATTCAATCAATAAAAGGTATTTTCTAGCATATGTCAACAACTTATGGCCAAATAGATCAGTCTAACGGCATAAGATTTAATATATAATCACTATTATTAACAATCATCTTTAAAAACTTTCTGAATTAATATACAGGTAACCCCCGTATAACACGGTAGTTACGTTCCAAAAAATTTCTGTGTTATGCGAATCCGTGTTATACGAAACAAAGAACTAGTACGAAAAGGAGGATTAGGTTCCAAAAATTAAAAAAAACATGCAATTATATTTTCATAATTAAGATAAATATCTTTATTAAAATTTTCTTAAGTGATACATATTAATATAAATTAAACAATGTTTTCTTTATCATCACTAAAAGCACTATTAACCGAGAGTGTTTTTCTTTTTGGCAGGTTAACCTTATCCTCTGAGCATTTTTCTGCATTATCTTCAGATCCATGCTTTACCTTTTGCAAAAAGTATGCAATTTTAGATTGCTTGTTTCTAGTTAAAAGATCTTTATACATTTCCTTATATGGTGCTAAGCACTTATGAAGAATAAAGCAAGTATGGAGTAAGGGAAAAACATCTGGCAACATCAAAATCAGAAGCATCAAGATCTGGCAACACTAAAACAAGTTTCGAGAAGGCGAGAAAAGATGTGTATTATGTACACATCTTTTCTCCGCCTTTCTTTATGTACACATCTTTTCATCGCCTTCTGTCAATACACATAAATACAAGTATTTATGTGTATTGACAGAAGGCGAGAAAAGAAAATTTACATACTTATGCACTAATACTTATGCACTAATAATACTTAAGTACTAATAGTTCACGAAAATAATGATTTTCGTGAACTATTAGTACTTAAGTACGTAAAAATTTACTATATTTCATGTTATACAAGGGTTTTACCCAATTCTCGAACCGTGTCAGAGTGAATTCGTGCTATAACAGTACCGTGTTATACGGGGATGGTACCAATTCTTGAACCGTATTAGAGTGAATCCGTGCTATAGAAGTGCCGTGTTATACAGGGGTTACCTGTACTATTATCTGTATTCCATAAGACTGTTGATGCAGTTTGGAAAGCATTTTAACAATTCCAAAATATGCATTTTAGTCTAAATATGCAATAATTTAGTATCACAACTGTCTACATGGTTTTGTGGTGGTACATATTGTATTTTTTCTTTATGTATGTTTTTTTGTCTACCTCCTGTATTTCAGGTCTTGGAATAGATTGTCTATTCCTGTTTCTTTGTGTAAATTAAACTCTGTAGTTGTCCCCCCTTCCTGTCCAATTGGGAAGGACTCGGTCATCTGACTGGTCCTTCCCAATTGTCAGATGAGTTTTGGAAGTAGTCCCATGAAGTGGAGGAAGGATGAGAACTTTACTTTTGGTTTGGTGCTCGAGGAGAGAGAGACCTTTAGACAAGAGATGAGTAAGGTTGGGCATGAAATCCCTCTCTTAGGAAGAGGAGAATTTCACAGCCCGTCAAAGGTCATTGAAGGAAAGTACATGGCATTAAGGTCTTTGGAGTCATAACTGACACATGGAGGTTGATGACAAAGAATTGTCATCGAGAACTAGATAAGTGAAATTGTGCAAGGAGAATCTACCTTTTTGTTTGATATTTGAGATTTGAAGTGTTGTTTTCTGGTGTCAATACTTCTCCAACTAGAGAATTTTCCTACCTGTTGTCATCCAGGACTGTTTTCATAGCATTTTCTATGTTGCTAACGCCCATTACTGGTTGATTTTACACTAGCTTTTTAATATTTGCTTAGTTTAATATTAATACATAGGATAAGTTAAAATATATTATTATGAGCAAGAAACAAGAAAATTATCATTCAAGTATTAAACAACACACAAGTATTGCTATAAATTACTAGCGCTTTCAACGAAACTATTTACAGTCGACCCCCCTATAAGATAGAGATACGTTCCATTCTCTAGGAATCCGCTTTCTTACGAATCCTTCCAATCACAACCCGACACGTGTCAAGTTTACGGACTACGGCTGTTTGAAAGATTTTCTTCCATAAAATTAATCGATTCTAGACTAATCCGACTCAACATTTCCAAAATACGTATATATTTTTTGGGAATAATCCGTATAAACTACGCTATAAACAAAAAATTGTAGGATTACTTACCGAGTGTCACCATTCGACATTGCCATTGCTCAACATTGTTTTCGTCGCGGAACAGCTCAGCAAAGAGCGGCCGATTTCTAACAACTTATTTTTCTGTGAAAACTTCGTAGAACTTCGGAGACATCATTAATATAAATAATTTTAATCGCCGTTGAATAAGAAATGTTTCTTTCACAAGAAATGTATAAAATTACAGTACTGTATTAGACTTACGGTACCTAATTTACATACTGACAGACGATAGTTAGCGTAAAAATCTCCGTAGCGTGGCGCCACGCTAGACGGCGGAAATTATATATTTAATTATAACAAAGTTACAATAAGTTAATATATAATTATATATACAGTACCTAATTTATATATAATTAATATATAATTATATGTACAGTACCTAATTTATATATAATTTATATAATACTGTCCAGACGATAGAAATCTCTCCGTAGCGTGGCGCTACGGACGGCGGGAAAGTAGTTCGGCTTCCCGATGACGTTTGAGGTGTTTATAGGGAACTTTTACTATTTTTTACGGATACCGGTAGCAATTTTTTCGTAGTTTTATAGGAATCGTAACTATAGGGACCGTAATTATAAAGGGGTCGACTGTATTCTTTATTATTCTATCCCTTTGGAATGTACAATGTCCATGTTGTCTTGCTGTATTTCTGAACACCAGCAATCTATCAGGGCAAGTGCAATACTGAGCTAGCAAGAATGGTGTTGCAACACCAATACACCCCGTTGTGGGACCAAGTGGTGATGCTCAAGCAGTGTGGTAACAGGAACCTTGTGTATTTATGGGAGGTGCTCCTTACTGACGTGCTAAATTAGTGCAACACCTCCACACTGGATGTGCCTTCTTTGTGGGTCAATTTATATAACAGATTGAGATATCATTGCTAGCTCCACATTCTTGTAAAAAAAAAAAAAAAAATTTGCACATGCGCATTGGCACCGCGCATGTATTATTCAAGTTCTCTGTTTTTAGTTCCATTTTTTGGTCATATTCCAAAGCTATTTTGCTGTTAGAGTATTTCGAAATCGTTGTTCGATAAAAGGATATTAACCGTTTTCATCTGCCTAAAGATGATGAAAATAGTTTGGCCAAAGTGCTAGTAATTTATATTGATACTTGTACATTGAATTGTTTAACGCCCGAATGATAATTTTCTCATTTCTTGCTTATCTATTGATTGACGTGAGGCCCAATATCTTTCACTTTTATATTATTATGGTTGCATATTGTTGGTTTAAAATTTGTTATTTGCAGTTATTAATCCTAGCCCAAGATGAGTTTGTTAGAGTGCATTATTGTTCAGCTGAAATCCCCATTGATTGATATCCTGGTCTTGTGGAGTAATTTTTATATGTCTTTTGTTGTTTTTAATAAACTGCTTGTATTTGTTTACAAGGGTGTATTATTTCTGTCCATGGTCCATTATGAACTAACTTAACTTCCCACAGTTTCAACATCACCTTGGAAAAGGCCTTTTAATATTTATTTAATTAACAGAAATATAATTGACAAATATTTCTGTGAATTAAATGATATGGATAATGTGAATTAAATAATATGGAGGCTATGATATATACAACAGTATAGTGATTATAAAAACTACTACACTCTAATTCTCAATTAGTCGTCATAACACACTGCATTGATAATCTAAGCAAGAACCATACAGTATATAAAGACACTGAAAACACCATATGTACTTTTCAGTTAATTATTAATAAAACTAATAAAATAATTTACTACAGTTAATTTTAATAAAACAAATGTTTTCAGCTTAATTAATAAGCCCTCATTAAGTTTTGAACAGAGATTCTATTTTTGAAACAATATTTGTTCCAAAAATAAAATCTATTATTATTAATGAAGGCTTATTAATTAGTGTCTCTATATAACACACTGCTTTATTTGGAGAGACTTCCAAATACATTGTTTCCTATAAACCAAGCACTTTGAGTTGTGCTCCATCTCACAGTTTTATTGTTCATCAAATATCAAATTCTTTACATCAAACTTTTTTCTCTCAATTACTGATATTTCCAAAATCAAACACAAAGAATTATCTCTCTCTAATATTAATTGCCTCATTTTTCTTACTCTTTTTATGGATCTCTATCTTTAACATCATAGAAATAATTTATTCTTTCTAACTTCTGTTACCAATTTCATCTTATTCCACTCCATTTCTATACTCTTACTATATACCTCTGCTACTAAACTTGTTCCTACTCTGCCTTTCCTTATGTCTTCTTGATGTTCTTTGATCCTCTTCTTCAAGTTGCATCTCATCACCCCTATTACAATTTACTCTCCTCCCCCTCATTTCTCAGAGGAACCTTGCCTTGTCTAAGGGATTCACTCTTTCTTTCTCATTTCTAAAAATATTAAACACTACCTTATTACAAACAAACTATTTTTTTCTTTATCCTTCTCTAGTTTCTTCCAAAAACCTTTTCAAAAACATCTGTAGTGGATCACCAAACCATGATTACTTGGCAATCCTCTATAGATGTTTTCATTACAGATTATTGTTTCAATATGACTAAAACAGTCCAATTAGTGAGTTTGAGTAAACAATTAATAATTAACTGACATAAATATCCCCATCTGACATGACATAATTTTTATTTTTATCCAAGCAACTTTTATTTCATTTGATTCTCAAACATTTTACAAGTCATTTAAGTTCCTAGATATCTGACCTACACAAATCCCTCAGTCTTATCATTCTCACGACTTTAATAAATATTTACATTAAAAATTATTAAAATTAGCTTATAAATTATTAAAGTAATATTAATTCGATTTATAATCATAATATATAAATAATTACCTTAAATGTAATATTTAATACATATGGAAGAGAATTATGAATGTTTACTGGAGAATACAAATGAAGAGTATAATTAGGAACTAATTTTGAACCAGTTGCAGGACTTCTTGCATTTTTATTCTCAGTGCATACTACCTGTCAAAAATAAAATATTAATTTATTGAATTTTTTTGAAAATTTTTTGAAAATTTATTGAAAAAAATTAAATTTAAATCAATAATTTTTGAGAAATGTAATGCTAAATAGTAAAAACACTTCAAAAAACCTTAAAAATTACATTAACAACTTTAATTTCTAACGTTTTTGGTCATAATTTACCATTCTTCCTCAGGAGAAACTTACAAAATGAATGATGTTACATTTGAATAGAAAAATAAATTTTAAACATTCCAGAATAAATTGTTCAATTTGTAAGTTTCTCCTGAGGAACATCAGTAAAACAGCTGAAAACTTTAGAAATTAAAGTGGTTAATGCAATTTTTAAGCTTTTTTTTTGGAGTGTTTTTAAATCAATAATTTATGATGTAATAAAATCCTTCACTTCAAGTTAATAAAATAAAAGACAATAAAAATTACCTGAACTACTAAAGAAAACAATGTTAAAGCCTAAAAATTCTAAAAGTATGTAAAAATTTTGATGAAAATTACAATGATTTCATTAATTTATTTAATGATTTAATTAATATTCATATATAAAATCATTATAATTTCCATCTCAATTTTAGATTGTAATTAAACTCAACAAAATATCAGCTATGCATATGACTTATCATTGTTAATCTGCTACCGATTTTGAAATTCTATCCACTTTGTGTGAAGTTAACTCAAATGGCCAATAACTGTCAATCAATTCAACATAAATTTAAGAATTTCTATAAAATTTTGTGTTTGTCTCAAATAAAAATATTTTTGAAACATTTGATATAATTAAGAAATTTAAAAAATAATGTTTTAGTCTGTTCATGAATGGAAGAGATTTTTAGATAGAATATATAGTTTAAAGAGGAAAAACAAATATGTTAGAAGATAAGTTATGCTTTGACAGATTTTCAATTTCAAAATCAAAAGAATATCATCATAAAACTAATAAAATCATAAGCACAAATTATCAAACAACTATTAATGATACAATTAAAATAAAAAAATGAGAGAGAGAATAGACAAGATATGTGCAGAATTTTGACAGTTACTCTATTGCAATAATGTATTCATGTAGCCTACAGCAGGATGTTTTAAGTGAGATTAATAAATGCAGATTCATGATTTCACAAATGGTGAATGGTTAAGTTAACCATTGGATACAGAGAATAATTCTGAATAATAAGCAGAGCACACAGTGACCATTTTTATTACAGAATTCATTGTGAAGCATAAATAAAAATATACATATAGAAAACATCTTGAAACCCAAATATTTTAATCATAAACCAAATGATTATCTCTGGTACCAAATTGCTTAGAATCTAATTATTAATAGTAGTGGTAAAATAGCCTGATTTCATACAACATTTCATCATCCCATTATTTAGTTTTAGAATATTTAGCAAAATGTATGTACCATGTGAGCTCAATTTATAAGAATCTGATATGAGTTTGCTTCTTTTATTCCTCTTCTTCATTTGCAAGACAACATATTCTATTCATGAATGTGACAAGATTGAAGTTCCTGCATGCTGCAATTGGATGGCTCCAGATAGATTCCAGTCTATTTGCTTTGTTTCAAACATGTTACATCTTTTTTCCATGGGTGTAGTACTAATCATTTTAACAATGAGTACACAATTTAATAACTTCATCCTTATACTATGTTTGCACACAATCCACGACTCACTTTGATCTTGATTTACTTACAGTTTAGATTGTAACTGTTGCCAGATGAACGTTGACACAAGCAGTCCATTTGAGAAGAACCCAGCTATTACACGCAATGATAAAACTGACATAACTACGTGATAAGTCACGAACACCAACAAACAAAATGGAAGTTTTGGTTAGAAATAAATACTTTTTCTTGTCATATATCTAATAATAGACAGATGTCATCATCTCTTCAGATGTCTTTTTTATTTCTCTGTTGATAGCCCAACACGTGTTCTGCAGCCTTCTTGTATTTTCTCATACACATGGGATTGTGGAATCTCTCTTATGACTGGATCTAGTTTCAAGAACTCTCTTGAGTTGATCGTGATTGACCCTCGTTTCAATCAAGATTGAAATGATCAAGAGAGGTCACACAATGGCATAGTTGCTGACCTTGGTAAAAATCTAGATCGAAATGCTCGGTGTGAACAGAGTGTTGCATTATAAATCCTTCTATTAGTAACTGCAATTTTATTAATTAAAAAAACAATTTTTAAAAAACCTATTTTACTTGTATATAACTCACTTATTGTCTTAACTTACTCTTGTTTTCTTACCATTAAAGAAAGAAATGTCTGATAACTTATGTATTCACTTCTCTTATGTTTTGTTTGCTTCTCACACTTTGTTTTACTTCTTTTTAGACCAATAAACAATCTAATCAACATTAAATTAATATGCCTCAATGTCCTTAATTTATTATAATCTTATTTTGTTCACTAGTACGTATTTTCTATTAACAGGACTTATTAAACTGGCTTTAAGGATACTGCAACTCAGTTTCACAGATTATAAAATTATTGTTTTATTTAATTTACAGGTAAATTAAATAAAACAATAATTTTAGTGGATGAAATAAGATTATAACCTAATCAACAGTTTCATTTTATTGATTTTATTTTATTTCATTTAAAAATTATTGGTAGGTAGGTAAATATGTGGATTCTATCAAATATGTTATTTGAGCTATAGAAGTACAATTACTTGATTATGCTGGAGTGAGATATAAGTTTATATCATGAGAAATAATGGATAAGTTCATCCCTATTTATGAGATTTTGATTTATGAGAAAATTTAAGGAATAAGATACACTCATAAATTTGGATTACACTGTATTAATTATAAACATACCTTTATGCAAAAAACATTGTTAAATTCCTTGTTATTACAAATAAGGTACTTTATATTTTTCTGTGAAACTGTCACATCTTGCCACCACAAACCTTCATTACTGACATCGTGACTAAAAAACAATGGTAAAATGAGATTATTTATAAATACAAAATAAGTAAATTTATATCGAAATTTATCAATAAAAAGTAAAAAAGCACATATATAAAATGATATAAAATTTAATAAGTCAATAATAATACAATTATTATACACTATACAGATTATTGATATCTTTGAAAAAAATATATACTGTAGTGATTATCACTAAGTATATGTAATGTCGTCATTATATATATATATATTTCGTATTGTCACGTATCGGTGTGTGTTGTAATTTTATTCTGTAAATATGCATCACATCTTGCAGTGTGGTGGTCCTGTGCTCTGATGTGTGTTACCATATCATGTACATGGCGTGGGATATAAATGAAAGGACCACGTGTATGAGGTACCTTTTTTCTCCTGGATCGTGTCCGGTCTGCGACAGAAGAATCAAACTGAAGTGCGAAAGGAAAGAGGAAGGAAGGAACAACCATGTGGAAGTGGAAATCAGCGTACCAAGAGAGAGACATTATACGGAGGGCTCAACTATCATCGTCCATGTAAGAATATTGTATTAGTCCTAACCTGAAAGATCCCTGATTGTTACGTCGCGTAAGTTATATTAGATTGTTTTTCTGTTCTCGTGTCGGGCTAGAAAGGGTGACGGAATACCCATTTATATTATAATGTAAATGAACCTCAGAATTACATCATTCTCTGATTAAATCTGTTTTGTGCCTTATCTTTTTGTGCAGTCCTTATCATTCTTACCCTCACTTTCACACTGTCGTACTTCGGTATGCTACAGCACAACAATACACACATATATTACCATGGTGCCTCATACTTCAAATTTAATTCACTCCAGGAGGCCATTCAAACTCTGAATCATTCAAAGTCCAAATCAATTTTTTCCATTACAAATAATGTAAAGTGAATTAATCCATTTCCAGACCCCAAACAATACCCATTTCGATAAACTTAAAACAGCAAATACAGTCGACCCCCCTATAATTACGGTCCCAATAATTACGATTCCTATAAAACTGCAAAAAAATTGTGACGGTATCCGTAAAAAACCCCCTATAATTACGTTAAACGTCATCGGGCAGCCAAACTACTTTCCCGCCGTCCGTAGCGCCACGCTATGGAGAGATTTCTATCGTCTGGACAGTATTATATAAATTATATATAAATTAGGTACTGTACATATAATTATATATTAATTATATATAAATTAGGTACTGTATATATAATTATATATTAACTTATTGTAACTTTGTTATAATTAAATATATAATTTCCGCCGTCTAGCGTGGCGCCACGCTACGGAGATTTTTACGCTAACTATCGTCTGTACAGTATGTAAATTAGGTACCGTAAGTCTAATACAGTACTGTAATTTTATACATTTCTTGTGAAAGAAACATTTCTTATTCAACGGCGATTAAAATTATTTATATTAATGATGTCTCCGAAGTTCAACGAAGTTTTCGCAGAAAAATAAGTTATCAGAAATCGGCCGTGGTTTGGTGTGCTGCTTCGCGACGAAAACAAGCTTTAGCAATGGGGTTGTTGAATGATGCATACTCGGTAAGTAATCCTACAATTTTTTGTTTATAGCGTAGTTTATATGGATTATTTCCAAAAAATATATACGTATTTTGGAAATGTTGAGTCAGATTAGTCTAGAATCGATGAATTTTATGGAAGAAAACCTTTCAATCAGCCGTAGTCCGTAAACTTTACACGTGTCGGGCTGTGATTGGAACGACTCGTAAGAAATCGGATTCCTAAAAAATGGAACGTATCTATGATCTTACAGGGGGGTCGACTGTACTCATAATTTAAAGTAAAAAAAATGCAATTAAATTCCCTAATAATAAATTAAAACATGAAAACAGTAAATTAAATACGTAAATACTGTATAATAAAATAAAAATTGTATTTACAGGTTGTACATCAACTTTGGAATCTTAAACATGGCCATCAGAACCACCACACGTGTATTGCTTTCATGCTTTGCAATAAGTTTCTTTTTCCATCTCTATCATTGATATTACATCCAATCATTATTGCTTACACTCACTTCTCAGATGCCATGATAAATAAGTAAAGATTATATTGGGTTGAACAGAAAGTTTTTGTATATTTTTAATAGCTGTGGTCACTAAACATAGATGTGTGATTTAATTATAACAGTTGTGAAATTTGACATATTACTGCTAATTTGAGATTTTATTCTTTGTTTAGAAGCTTATTTTAAACTTTTTACTTCTCATTTTGTTTGAAATGTCTTCAGATAAAAAGCATATCAAGTATACAGTGATGTCTGCAGACTATAAAAGAGAGGGGGCCCAAACCATTAAAAAAAAGGGCATTGTACATTATGCAAAAAGTTTGAAACTCTATGATTCAATGGTGGATCAGGACTCACAAGTTGGTACTGGTTGCACTTGAGGCTAACTTGACCTTGAAAACAAAGAATGTGGTTTGGTCAACATATGACAAAGTTGCATGGGAAAATGCACAAATATTGTTCATTGATTTTTTTTATATTTACAAAATAGACTAGAAGTCATAAATTTTCTGTTGTTTGTTGCCAATGAAATTTGCAGTTCGTTGGGGATTAAGAAAAGAACAACCCAGATGAAAAATGAAGTACCTACACTGCTATGTATTGCAGTGCTCTCTGAGTATGTATGCATATATATTGTAAGCGTGCCTGCACAACACATATTCTTGTTACATCCTTGTTCAAATAAAGCTGTGTTACTGTTGTGGCTACATGCCATAATTGTATAGTTATAGTTTATATTTTTATTAAATATATTTCCCTTTGTCTTCATTTCTATTGTCTTTCTTTCTGGAAGTTTCTCCCTACTTTTGTTTAACGGTGTAACAGCAGGTGACCCCTGTGTAACAAAGGGGAAGGTGTGTAACAAAGGGGAAGGTGTGTAACCCTCAGGGTATAACGGGGTCCAAGAGTTCATTCTAGAGGGAGTAGAGGACAGGAAAAGACATGTGAAGAAGGCTCTTGGGTTGTTGAACCGAGTGGAGACTAAACGGACTTTTCGAGGAGAAAAGAATACGGAAGCTATCGAAAACTGAAAAGGAGGTTTTCGTGCGTTTTAAAGTGTATAGTGAAGACCAAGAAAACTTCCACAGGGAAGGAATTATCTTTCGCCGT